AGATAGATAGATAGATGGATAGATAGATAGATAGATAGATTATGTTGTGATCTATATAAAGCCAACAGATTAATTGAGATAATTATAAGCTAAATATGCACATCATCATCATTTATAGGGTACTTTCTACTGGGAGGTGTTCAAGGTTTTCAATGTTTTTTTTAGACATTCTTGATTTCTTTTAAGTTCAAGTTGAAAATTGTCATGAGTGTAGTTTTTAAATTAAATAACTTTTTTAAAAATGCTGTCTGACGTTTTCATGTCATTACTAAACTTAAAAAGTTTTAGTCAATAGGGGGAGCCTTACTTTAAGCCACACCCCTACACTTTGGAGCAGGAAGTGAGACAGCATCCCTGTCCCTCATGGCCACATGGTGAGCAGTTAGATCTCATTGTTTCAAAGTAAACGTGTCCCAAAGTCTGAAATTCAGTGCGTAACCTTAAGAATTGAAACAAATCATCATCATCATCATCTGCAGTTCAGTAAAGTATTTTTGTGTTTTAATGAAAAATATTATGATTTTATGTGCTTACAAATGTTTTGTGTATAACAACTTTCAGCTTTTACTGAAAAATAACTGAGAGGGTTATCTTTGGTTCCCTAAAGCAGAGGTTCTCAAACCGGTCCCCAGGTGGTCAACATGTTTGCTCGATCCCAACTCACAATATAAAGTTGTAGAGCAAAAATATGGACCATCTGGAGGTTCCTGATGACTGGTTGGAGAATCACTGCTCTGAAAACAATTCATTCAATGGATGGTTCTATAAAGATTATTTTTGTGAAAAAGATGTGTGAGTGTGAAGACCCTTTTTAAAGTTTAAAAAGCTCCCATATGTTGTAAAGGTTTGGAGTGCAAGAACAGGGAACCATGTAAAAAATACTGTCTGACCATCATTTATAAAAATGGTAATTTGAGAACCATCTACTGTAAGGAGAGCTCCAAAGAATGCCTTTATTTTTAAGTGTACACAACTGACACTGCACACAGAGATTAGATTAAAAAATGCTGAAAGGTTCTTTAAGGAACTAAATGTGGTTCTTCTATGGCATTGCAGAACCCTTTTGCCACCACCTGTTACACTGCCGTAACAGTAGACAGAGAGTACAGTGAAAATCACTGGAGTATTCCTTTAAAGAACCATCAGCTGATAGATAGGTGCTTCTTCTGTGGCATTGCTCCAAAGAACACTTTTCTGCAACTTCATTATTAAGAGTGGACTTTTAGCACCAGGTCCCTGCAGCACCTGCTATCTGTTCCAGGGGTTTTACAGCCTCATTGCTTTATGAATGGGAAAGCTTTGCTGTACTCTGAGCTCAGCAGAGAGCTGAGAATATTGCATTACACAAACAGATCGCCATGCATTATAATTAGTCAGGTTTCCGTGGCATCGTTCAGGAGGATGCACATGGTGTTCCTTGAAAAGCCGCCCTTTCTGATAAAAGTATGCTCACATCCACACATCCACACAAATCTGCTTGCGTGGGAGGGACTGACGCAGTCTCCATGACTCACTCTGACACCAGAGCTGACTTACAGCATCGTTAACGTCCTCTTGCGTGTGTGCTAGTGTGTGACAGGTGGAGAATCACGCCGGCCTGAGCCACAGACCTACTTACTGCCATTCTGCTGCAGCTGCACTATATATAACAGCTCCATTGCAGTGGGCCAGCAGCTCCTGCACCGCTTCACTCAGGCCATTAAACATCCCTGCAGACGGCCGGGGAAAATGCATTCGACTTTCGCAGTGTAATACCGTGCCTGCCGTTTAAGCAGCTCTTCTTGATGTTTCTCCTGATAAAAAACGTTCCTTTAAGTACTTGGTCGAGGATTAAAATATCACCACATGTGAGTGAAGAGAGAGAATGGAGGAGTTCATTCCTCTGCTTTATTACAGGAGATTGAAATCCAGCAGGCGTGTCAGGCCTTTTGTCTGACAAGTGATTCAGAGTTAGCTTTTTCCATAGATTTAGATCTGTACCCATGGCAACACCTTGATGATGATGATGATGAAGATGATGATGAAGCAGAAATTTGGCCTTTGAAGAGTTTTTGCAAGGAAACAACAAATGCAAGGAGGAAAACAAGGGGGGAAAGCCCCCCTTAAAAACAATGAGTGACCCAGATGAAATTTCAAAATTCACTAGATTTGCGTTTCCTGAAGAGAATACAGCACTTGCAAATAGTATTCGTAAATGTTGAGTCTAAGAATTCAAATGTAATGAAATGGGGAAAAAGAAAGAAAGAAAGAAAGAAAGCAAGCCAAGCACTACAACTATTGCAGATGCATTTTACAGTAGATTTGAGGGTGGTCCACCTGTGTAGAAACATGGCAATTACAATGAAAAAATGTATTAGAGAATGAAAGAGGACTAAGTCTAGGTAAAGTAAAGGTTTATGATAATAAATTAGGATGCGGCGTCTACTGTTCATGCCATCTCAAGGTTCACTAAATGCCTTATTTGGGTCAGAGATATCAGTCTAGAGTGTCCTCTTTGTAATGATTACAGTACTTCATCCTCTTTAAAAGTCTTATCTGTGTTTGATTACAGGACAAGATACGAACAGGCCAGTGACCATTACTTGTGTTACAGTAACAGGCCTGTTAAAGTCCCAGGAGCTTCGGGCACATGGATGTGTTCACATTGCTGCCACTAGAGGGCAGTAGAGATTGCTGCAAGTCTCTGGCTTATATCCAAGTTCTCCTTCTGAACTGTTGTGCAATAGCAATGGCCACATGAATTCAGGAATGTGAGTGCACTTTGTCATTTCAGGAAGCAATGCAGGCTTCCTTTTAAAGGAAGGTCCCTCTCAGTCCCCTCCCCAGACAGCAGGCCAGCTGTGGCTGATGTACTTTCCTATTCAGCGTTCAGCATTTGGTGTTCACTGCACCAGTTTGCTGTTGTAACAAAACTTATATCTTGATAATGGTAACTTCACAGGAGAAGGAACAAACAGTCTAAACTGTTAATGTGAGCTGCTTTAATGAGATTCTATGTCATCATTTCTATTGGTCTGTTGCCCATATAAAGGACAGTTGGTGTCCTCAACTTGTGAAAAAAACTTTACGTAAGAAAACACTAGAGTTATGAGGTTTTCGTACGACAACAGTGATATTTAAAAACATCTCAGAGCTTCCATGTTGCTCGGTTTATGTGACTGGCACGTACACTGTGTCCCCAGCACGGCTAGTTAAAACTGCAACTGCGCTCAGTTAATTGACATGGGCCCTGCTCTGTAATCTGGACAGTCTTATGAAGCTGTAGAGCAGATGGGCTGTTCGGGGCGCTTTTCTCAGCAGGAGCTTGTGGTGCGGTGCTTTAGCACACTGCATTCTCTCCAGCTGTCAGCCACATGTGCAAGCCAGGGTCGCTGAGTCCATGCTCCGACTTCACTCCGGCATGTTAGCATGGACCACCGTGGAGGCTGTCAGAGAGAGGAAGAAGGACTGGGCCGTCTCCCAGGTGCTCTGTGTGGGGGCTGTGACTTCAGGCCAGGAGTGCAAATCTCTGACTGCACTATGATTCGATCCTGTAGGAAATGATTCATCCTGAAATGATGAATTCTCAAAATGATTTGATTCGATTATTTCAGAATGATTCAGAATTATTAACAAATATGCAAATAGAGAAACTATTCACACAGGAGCAGAATACAGGCAATTAAAACAATACTACAAAAACATACACTGTGTTGATGTCAAATATTTACACTACCAGTTTGGACACTCATTTTAATCTAAAGGCTTATGCTTAAAAGTTTCAAAGGTGTTTTTGTGATAAATATAAATATTGATAATGATGCTAATGTCTAGTACTGAGATCAGAAGCCATTAAGCACTAAAAGGCAGAAAACATATTTAACAGGAAAATACTCAGAAATTCAATATTTAGTGTTTCCAAACTTTCCATAGCCATTCTTGTCAGGAGAATGCTTTCAGAGACCTGTGTATTTTTTCAGTTCAGAAGCGTCAGTGCAGCTTGATTTTCTCCTCTCTCTCAAAGAAGAAAGCTTTAAGCACTGTTTACCTGAAGAGGACAGTTTTGGTGGTCTACCAGGTCTTGCACGGTTGTTAGGAGTCTCATTTTCTCTTTTAATAATTTTTTTAACTCCAGTTTTGGAAACTTGTTTTTTCACTTATTTTCCTTCGACTTCTTTTCCTTATGCAAGTGGATTATTTTATATCTAATGTCCTCAGAAATACCTCCTGAAGAATGAATAACTTTACGTGGTTTTCACTTAAGACTTGAAATTTAGGCTTTAGAACTCATACATTACAAGCAGTTTTTCAGTTTGTTCAGTGAAGCTTTTCAGTGTGTTGTTTTTATGTTTACATTCCAGACATTAAAAAATTATTCAATGTTTTAATTCAAAAAATTAATAACTTGGTTGCCTTAAAATTTTGAGTTTAATAAAATATAAAATATAATAATAATATAATAATAATATAATAGCTTAACATAATATAAAACACTGATTATTGCTCTGCTAACTTACCTTTAGAAGTTCAATGCTCTCAAAATTTTATGGCAACCAGGTTGTTAATTTTTTAAAGTTAACTGTAAATTAATCTGTAAATTTAGTAGTTCCTCTTTATGGGTTTAGTGTAATTTTAAAATCATTATGTTCTCTATAAATTTCCTTTCAATAGGTGCCTATTTTATTTTACATTTTATCATATTTTACTTCATTTTGGGTGAAATATGAGCACATACTTTAATGAATTTTATCATAGTTGTTTATTCTAACATTCCTTTATTCTAACATTTCTTTATCAAGCTGAATCGCCACTTTAAACTTATATATTACAATGCATCAATGAATTTTACCCCAAGTTCAAGCACGTTCCAGATATTTCTGGAGATATGTGAGCATGTGTTAAAAGTGCTGAGGAAAGCCCTTCTCAGGATGACAGGGCTTCAGGACAGACGGGGCTGCCGGCTTTAATCCTGTTATCCCTCTCCTTTAATCCGTGCTGCAGTGGCCAGCCCTCACACCTCAACTCAACCCTGCTGTGCACACAAACATACTTACTTATCCACACACACTGAGCTGCACATACACATACACAAACATATAGATACACATTCACTCACAGTATGGAGGACAGTCTGCTGCTTGGTGTGGAGGGGATCAAAAAAACCATCCTGTATGGAGGAACCAATGAGATTCCCAAATTCAACACAGGATCAAAGGTAGGGCCTCTCATTCATATCAATATACGGGCAGCATTAATGCCACTGCTGCAATATATGCATGCAGTAAACTTTCCAGCTTCTTTACTAGAAACATCTAACTTGTTGCTCAACCTGGTTGGTGTACAGTTTGACACTGTTGACGCACAGTTTGTGTAAATCATCCTCTTGACCTTAATCAGTGGTCATTTTCTGGTCACAGAACTGGATATTTTTGCGTGGTGTCCCACTCTCAAACCAGCAGTGACAAAGATCTGTATAAAGTCCTCAGCAGCATTGCTGCATTTGATATACTCATATCAGCAGAGCTCATGCTACCATGCCAGTGTCACTGCTGTGTTCTGAAGGCTCCACCACCCGGACAATATCTGGGCAACAACAGCGGTCCTGTGGTCAGAAACTGCTGTTGCATCAAAAATGTGTTCACAGACAAATCTTCTTTGTGCTATAACCATGTATTGAGCCACACATTGCATAATTTAATCTTAGGATCACATGTCTTCATTCACGAGACAAGTGATGGCTTCTCTTTATCAAGTTATGAAAGTGAGAACAGGAAATAAAAAGCTTTTGGTCATCTTTATCTCTCCAGTGTACGAACACAAGCAGGTCTGACCAAGAGGACATTACTGTGAACAGCAGAATTGGTAATTTAACAGTTGTTAAATGAACAACTGCAGTGTACCTTCAGCCAGTTTCCAAAACTACAGTTCAAAAATTTTTTATAAGATATAGATGAAATGGGACCCCTAACAATCATACAAGACCTGGTGGACCAAGAAATGTCACTATGAGAAAAAAACAGTACTTAAAGTTTTCATTTTTAAGAGAAAATCAAGATCCACTCTTGCTTCAGATCTGAAAAAACACAAGTGTTTCTATCCATCCTTCCTGTGAGAAGACAACGCAACACTGTGAGTCCAAAAGGATGTCTAGCTGTCAAGAAGCTGTTACTATGAAAAGGAGATAAGAAGACAAAAAAGAACATTTGCAAAACAAACATAGAAGCTGCTGGTGTTCTCAGAAGAAAGGTCTGTCCACCCCAGAGTCCAGACCTCAAAATCACTGAAAGTGTTTGGAATTACTCTGATCATGAGAAGCAAAAAATTCAACCAACTGAGCTTTGGAGGTGTGGAAAAATGCAGATTTCTTTGAAAAACTGAAGGCAAGTCTTATAAAGGAATGGATTTAACACACCTGATGCTAAATAGCAAGACCTTCATGAAATAAAGCCTTGTAGTGCAACAGCCTTCCTCCTGGACCAGATTCATGCCACTGAGCTGCAATGATGCATCATAAACCTACACACTTCAGCCTGTGTACAAATAAGAGATTAAATCCTGCTTATATTATTCTGATAGCTACTTTCTCAATTGTTGTTCTTGTGACTTGCAGGTAACCTTCCACTTCCGGACCATGCTGTGTAATGATGACCGAACGGTGCTAGATGACAGTAAGAAGGTAGGCGTGCCCATGGAAGTGGTGTTCGGAAATATGTTCAAGCTGGACGTGTGGGAGACCCTGCTCAAGTCCATGCGTATTGGAGAAGTGGCTGAGTTCTGGTGTGACATCATTGTGAGTATCCACTGTCTCTCTTATTCTAAAAACAGCATTTCTGTTGAGTACGGTCTACAATTCAAGACTGAATAGCAGAAGTACTTCTGATGTATGACTGTGTGGTCTTAATGAACATCTTCTGGTAATAATGGGCCTGAGCCTCTGAACATAGCTTTGTAATTTGCTTTTTGGCAAAGATGCCAGGAAACAAAACATCAGCTGACAAAGTCTAGCCTCCCTAAAAGCCTGCTCAAAAGTCAGAGATACTATACAAACAGACTAGTCATGGTCATTATCTGGCAAAAGGAGCATTGTGATGCTGTTTGTGTACATGCGTAGGATATGACGTTGGTTGTGAGGCTGATCTCTGCACAGCCTGTATTGAATCAAAGCTAAAAGCAAACACACTGACCTTTGTACAGTGTCAGTGCAGGTCTCCAGAGAACATAGCAAGCAAATGACATTTTGGTCAGTAAACTTTATGGTGGGACACACGGACCTAAACAGCTACTGTAAGCCACTGTCTTACACCAGTGTGGGCCTAAGAGGAGTGCGCTGTACATTAGCCTGACTGACAGGTTGAGTGCCTAAAGGAGGATTAAACTGAAGCTGCCCCACCCCATGTAAATTATTATGCACTGCTGTCAACACTGAGCCCTACACCTCCTAGCAGCAAAGAGCTTTACAAGAAGACCGTAGTCAAACCAAGGAAGGCTTTGGTGACCTTAAGTATTAGAAAATTCCAGCAAGATCAGCATTGTGCATCTTATGTAAGTACACTACATGGCCAAAAGTATGTGGACACCTGACCGTCACACCTAAATGAGATTGTTGGACATCTCATTATAAAACAATATGGAGTTGCCTTGCCAAGGCATTCCACAAGATTTTGGAATGTGTCTGTGGGAAATTATGCTCATGGAGTCGAAAGAGCATTTGTGAGGTCAGGCACTGATGTGGGACAGGAAGGCCTGGCTTGTAATCAACGTTCAAATTCATCCCAAAGGTGTTCAATGGAGTTGAGGTCAGCACTCTGTGCAGGCCACCAAAGTTCCTTCATAACAAACTCATCAAACCATGTGTTTATGGACTTGATTTGTGCACAGGGGCACAGTCATGCCAGAACAGGAACAGATCTTCCTGAAAGAAGCTGTAATTGTTTAAAATGTCTTAGCATGCAGTAGTGTTAACATTACCCTTCACTGGAACTAAGGAGCCGAGCACAAACCCTGAAAAACAGCCCCATTATCCCTCCTTAACTTTACTTTTGGCACTACGCATTCTGGTAGGAAGCTTTCTTCTTGCATTTTCCAAACCCCTTATTTATCCATCAGACAGCCAGATAGTGAAGTGTGATTCATCACTCTAGAGAACACACCTCCACTGATCCAGAGTCCAGTGGTGGCACACTCCATCTCCTGCTTGGTATTCTGCATAGTGATCTTAGGTGTGTGTGCTGCTGCTTGGATATGGAAGATAGTTTCATGAAGCTCCTGACGCCCAGTTCTTGTGCTGATGTTGTTTCCAGGGGCAATTTGGAAGTCTGCAGTGAGTGATGCAACAGACAATAGATAATTTTAACAATTTGAGAGCTTCAGCACTCAGCAGCAAACTCTGTGAGTTTGCATGGTCTGCTTCTTCATGGCTGAGCTGTCGGTGCTCCTAGACACTTCCATTTCACAATAATAGCACTTACAGTTGACCAGGCCAGATCTAGCAGGCCAGACATTTCACAAACCGACTTGTGGCAAAGGTGACATCCTATGACAGTGCCACATTTAAAGTAGACAAGCTCTTCAGTATGACCTATTCTACTGACAATGTCTATGGAGATTGCATGCAATGTGCTTGATTTCATACACCTGTTAGCAATGGGTGTGACTGAAACACCTAAATTCAATAATTAGGAGGGCTGTCCAAATACTTTTAGTCATGTAGTGTAGTATAAACCCATATTCAAGGAAATGTTATTTCAATCAAATAATGACTCATAGAGAAGTTAAAGTAACCTAGAAAAAAAAACTGTCAAAGTGTTGGGTCGAGAAATAGCAACAGGTCAAAAAGGACTGAAGTACTGAGCAAGTTATAGAACTGCTGTACAACTTCTTAATACATCCAACACCTGTCAGCATAGGAGCTGAAGATCGTTTGGCTCTGCTCTTCTCTTTTTGAGAATGTTTTGATTTGAAATGAAAATGATAAATCTCAAAAGTGAGAGATGGTGTAAACAATGTGAACAGGTAAAATGTAACTGAGTAAAAAATGTAGATTTCTCACAAATAGACTCGAGGAGAAGTGAAAGCATTGTCATATAAAATACACCGAGAAGTACAAAGCCATTACAATTTAGGCTGTTAGAAATTAGACCAAAGCATTTCTTTAGTTTCTACTGTCTAACAGTCTGGTTTGTCTGTGGATGGACAGCACACTGGCATGTACCCCATCGTGGCAAAGAGTCTACGACGCATTGCAGAGGGCAAAGATCCAGTGGACTGGCACATCCACACCTGTGGCATGGCAAACATGTTCGCTTATCACACACTGGGCTACGATGACCTGGACGAGCTCCAAAAAGAACCTCAGCCTCTCATATTTGTGCTTGAACTGCTAAAGGTCAGTGGTCACTATGACTAATTTCCATCTGTCTTGCTTCCTGTCATACACACAAAACCATTTAAAGCTATTTATGGCCACCAGTTAGCATAGTGCTCTCAAGTAAACTTGCTTATGTGGTTTCTGACACTGCATAACATACTGTTAGCTATAAAAATAGACTGTGTAGTACAGCTAAAAACAGTAGTAGCAGCCATCTTAGAGCCATTATTTTGTCTGTATCTACACCAATCAGGCATAACATTATGACTACCTCTTTATTTCTATGCTCATTGTCCGTTTTATCAGCTCCACTTACTATATAGGTGCACTTTATAGTTCTACAATTACTGTAGTCCATCTGTTTCTCTGAATACTTTGTTAGCCTCCTTTTACCCTGTTCCTCAGTGGTCAGGACCACCATGGACCCACAGAGCATTCTCAGCACTGCAGTAACACTGACGTGGTAGTGTGTTAGTGTGTGTTGTGCTGGTCTGAGTGGATCAGACACAGCAGTGCTGCTGGAGTTTTTAAACACTGTGTCCACTCACAGTCCACCTTGTAGATGTAAAGTCAGAGACGATAGCTCATCTGCTGCTGCACAGTTTGTGTTAGTCATTCTCTAGTTCTTCATCAGTGCTCACAGGACGCTGCCCACAGGACGCTGTTGACTGGATATTTTTGGTTGGTGGACTATTCTCAGTCCAGCAGTGACACTGAGGTGTTTAAAAGCTCCAGCACTGTCTGCTGTTTCTGATACACTCATACCAGCACAACACACACTAACACACCACCACCACATCAGTGTTACTGCAGTGCTGAGAATGATCCACCACCCAAATAGTACCTGCTTTGTGAGGGTCCATGGGGTTCCTGACCACTGAAGAACAGGGTAAAGGGAGGCTAACAAAGTATGCAGAGAAACAGATGGACTACAGTCTGTAACTGTAGAACTACAAAGTGCACCTATATAGTAAGTGAAGCTGATAAAATGGTCATAATGTTATGGCTGATCGGTGTATACGGCCGCTACTACTGTTTTTAGCTATACCACACAATTTTGTCCATTTATATAGATAACAGTACATTATCCAGTGACAGAAACATAATTAAGTCTATTTGAGATTACCGAACAACTCAACACAGTTTAAAGCACATTTGTGATGATTTAGTCATGCTAATTTAGTGGAGTTTAAGCTTCTACTACTTAGCTACATTAGCTTTGTAGCTCCAGAGCAAAACCAAAGAACCAAACTTCAGACATATCTTGGCTGACTGATTACATTAGTATTGAAATGAACCAAACACTTAGCTATTAAGCAAGCACATTTATGGGAATCTCGTGACCACATTACTTTGTCAGAGTCAGCAAATATGTTGCATAATAGATTTCTATTTACACGAGAGAACAGAGGAACTGGTGATGGTACACATGCACATAAAAATACTTCACATGAATGGCCACTAGGTTGAGCTAGGGAATTATTTTCAGTTTAAAGTCCTCAGGAGCAAGACTCTAAAAAAAACATGCTTGTAGTTTATGCCCTTCCCAATAAAAGTAAAGCACGCTTTTTCATTTTGCTCGAAGACACACTATGAGGTTCATTTCAGGCGCTTGGCTGGGTGTGTTTGTTATTCAGGTGCAGCAGCCGAGTGAGTATGACAGGGAGTCATGGGCTCTGAGTGATGAGGAGAAGCTGAAGGCGGTGCCTGTGCTCCACGGCCAGGGCAACAAACTCTACAAACTGGGCCGCATTGAGGAGGCCATGAACAAGTACAAAGAGGGCCTCATCTGTGTCAGGAATGTTCAGTCAAAGGTGAGAAAGCCAACAAGTGCATATGAAGGACAGATAATGTGAATGTATCTGAAAGTACATCCCTGATTTCCTCAGTCAGACCATTTCAGTTAGAGGTTTTAGAGACAATTATGTTTTGGAAGACAATACAGAATTTAATCCCTTTTTGTGGTTATGTTGTTTCAGCACTAGTGAATTCTTAGCATGGCCCATGTTATTGATTTCAGCTTTTGTGTACTGTGTGTGCTCTCACAGGAGAAGGCCTGGGAAGCTCCATGGTTGAAGCTGGAGAAGATGGCCAACACTCTCACACTCAACTACTGCCAGTGTCTGCTGCGTTTAGAGGAGTACTACGAGGTCATCGAGCACACCAGTGACATCATCAACCAACATCCTGGTATGTAGTAGATACAAAGTACTGGTCTGTGCATTTAGACACACCGACTAATAGCACGGTTGCTCTATTTTTACTATTTTCCACATTGTAGAGTAATGACATCAAAGCTATTACACAGCAGAAATAAATTCTAAAAATAGGCATATTTAGAACCACTCTACCTCACAACTGATTGGCTCAAATAAATTAATGAGGACAGATATTCCACAAATATGTGGGATACAGAGTAAACATCAGGTTATAATGATGAAAAATAACATCTTGGGGGAGAATTAAAAAAATTGTTGTGGAAATAAACTTATACATACGCATTAACATTACTATATATTACAATTGTATTAGAAGCATATTTCAAAGATTTAAGCATAAGCCTTCAGTCTAAGGCTGGCCAAAGTGTGGTCTGCAGGCCAAAGGTGACCCATGAGGATGTTTCATTTCATTATCCTAACCCTACACCCCTCAACCAATGAGAGAACAAGCATAGTTTTGTATTATTAAACTTATTAAACCTTTCCTATATTAAGAACAAAATATAGTGTGATGTTAAAACACATTGTACTTACCTACCAATCTTCTTTATATGTATACTGTTTTGTCTCTATCAAAATTGAACCCCTAAGACAAAAGGTTTGGGCACCCCTGCATAGGGCTGAATGAATTGGATTAAAATATCTAATTGTGATTTTTCTGACCAATATCGCGATTGTGATATAAATGCTCTTTTTTTTTGCCAGCTCTGTGTTATTAGGTAAAATTTCCCCACTTAAAACATGTTTAGGCCAAGTTGATTAATGTAGGATATAATAAAAAATTGTTACTCCTGTGATTTTAAAAAATGCATGCTTGAAAACTGTGATTTCAATATAAAAACTATTAATTGTTCAACCCCTGCTTTAGACTATACGTATATGAAAAACACTCATTCAGTCAGCCATGTTTCATCCATTCTATTTGTTATTTAACCCTTTAAATGGCCAGGGCACACCAGCAGGCCCAAAGGTTTATTACACACTTCTATAACTTAATAATAGCTCAGCCAGTTTGCATTAAAGTCACTGTAGTTACTGAATAATAATATATATATATATATATATATATATATAAAACATCTGAACACAGAAAGAACAATAATTGGTAGCCCGTTATCTTAAGTGGTCCTTTGTAGATGATTAATAAACTCTTAAGAGATTAACACATCAGTAACACATTAACACATCAGTAACACATCAACAACACGAGTGAAGTAGCAGTAGTGAAACATCTGAATACACTGAAGTGAATATCTTGTAGATGTACTGTTGATACATTACTTACATTAAGTAGATGTGTTGTTAATATATTACTTACATTACGCAAAACCTATTTTTACCCAACGCAAAACCTAACCTTAACCTCAACCCAGAACCTAATCCTAACCCCTCATATGTTTTTGACATGTTACTGAGAGTCTGTTCAGTGTTTGTTTCATCTAAAAGGACCACTCAAAATAAATCCAATAATTACCCAATAATTTTATCAGTATTATTCAAGTATGCAATAAAAAACAGTTACCCTGTACACACTGTGATACCTGATCCTTTTCTTCTTTTTTACATCACTCTGTAGAATAACAGTTAGACTCTATTGGTATGATGTTTTCAAAATGCAGCACTACATTACAGAACTGTTCATGTTCTGTAGGGGCCATCAAAGCCTTCTATCTGCGGGGGAAAGCACACATGGAGGTGTGGAACGAAGCAGAAGCCAAAGCTGACTTTGAGAGGGTGCTGGATCTGGACCCGGGCATGAAGAAATCAGTCAGGAAGGAGCTAGCTGTCCTCAGCATGCGTATGGAGGAGAAGAGAGAGGAGGACAGACTGAGGTACAAGGGTATGTTCACAGATACAGCAGCAGGGCAAACAGCTCCAGCACAAACACCAGAAGAGATGACCCCAGAACAAGAAACCCCAGAACAAGAAATACCAGAGCAGATAACTCCAGAAGAAGCAATTCTAGAACAAGCACCTCCAGAACAAGAAATGCCAGAGCAATAACCCCAGAAGAAGCAATTCTAGAACAAGCACCTCCAGAACAAGAAATGCCAGAGCAAATAACCCCAGAAGAAGCAATTCTAGAACAAGCACCTCCAGAACAAGAAATGCCAGAGCAGATAATTCCAGAGGATACAATTCTAGAACAAGCACCTCCAGAACAAACAGCTACAGAACAAGCCTTTCTAGAACCAGAATCTCCAGAACCAGCGACTCCAGCACAAACAACTGTAGAAGAAACAACACCAGAAGAAACGATGCCAGAACCAGAGACGTTTATGTGATGCTGAAGAACCTTGAAGGCACAGAGAAAACATGTCTGGCAAAGGAAACAAAGACCCATTTGCCAAAATGTTACCTTTGCATAGTTTATCAGCATTAGGATTTACCAATGAGACTGCTTAACCTTTTAAATAGCCAGGGCCCACCAGTGGGCCCGAAGTTTTATTACACACTTCTTTCAGCTCAGTTTGCACTGAAGTCCCTGTAGTTACTGAATAGTAAGACTTAGTATGCAATAAGCCTGGGATTTTAAGGGGTTAATATAATTTTTCTGATTAGAAATATACATGAGCTATTTTACAAATGGTGTTTTATTCAAGATGCTCAGGGTAGAGCTGTGAATAAGACAGTCATGGTGTTTGCCAGAATCATCTGCAGATGGAGCTATGCCTGTAAAAGTGCTTGTAATAAAAGGAATGTCTGTAACTATTCTTTTTAAATGTAGTTAAGCAGCATCAGGTAATAAAGCACATTCTGCCCACTGAATGAGAGAGTACTCTTTCCTTATCATAGTGTGACAGTTGATATTTATGGTGCTGACTCCCTAGTTCATTTTCATTTGCTTTTTGCTAATTCAAAGATGCTGGCAGGGGAAGTCAAGACAGTTTTGGGTGCATCCTTAAATTCACCACAACCACAGCAGTACTGCTGATGCTGTGAGGAATCAAATGTGAGTGTAGATGCCAATATTTGTCTGCAAGTCTTCAGAGAGAAACTTGCCTATTTCAACAGTTTCATAAGGCTTCAAGATGAGTTCTGGTTACTGCTAATGCACAGTTCTGCTCTGACACAGCCAATTATTGGCACTCTAGGATTAGAGAACCAGAACAATACAGGAAAAACCCTCATATATACTGTATGTCCAAAAGTATACAGACAGCCCTTCTAATTAGAGAATTCACTAATTCACTTTGCACCCATTGCTGACACAGGCGATCAACTGAACACCATAAAATCTCCATAGAAAAGCATTACCGATAGAACGGGACACTTTGGAGCAGCCACAAATGAGCCAAAGATCATCATTCTCAATGTCAAGTGTCAACTAGAGGGGAATAAATCCCCCCAGCAATGAGCTGTGGAGCAGTGGAACTGAATTCTCTTGAGTGATTTAGCACCATCCAAAACATGTGGGATGAGTTAGAGTGACATTTGTGATTCACAACTAATCATCATCCGTGCCTGAACTCACTAATGCTCTTGTGACTGAATGCAATCAAATCTTCACAGTATCTTCACAATATTCCAACATCTGGTGTAAAGCATCCCAAAAGAGTAGAGGCTGTTACTGCAGCAAAGAGTGTTGCAAACTCTGTATTAATACCCTTGAGTTCAGAAGAAATATTGGATTACTAATAGTAGTAGTTACAGACGCCTATAGTCTAAGGAGAACACCACAAAAAATGGATTTGCCTCTCTGCAATACTGAACACCTGCCTCATATTTTGTGCATTGCGAAGTGTTATGACAGCTGCTTTCTACTTTTCTATCCATTGTTATTCCTTGTCTGTTTCTGTGTCTTGCTGTTAAACACTGTGTCCACTCACTGTCCACTCTATTAGACACTCCTACCTTGTTGGTCCACCTTGTAGATGTAAAGTCTGCATTATTTGTGTCAGTTATCCTCTAGTCCATCATCAGTGGACACAGGACGCTGTTGGCTGGATATTTTTGGTTGGTGGGCTATTCTCAGTCCAGCAGTGACACTGCGGTGTTTAAAAACTCCAGCAGCACTGCTGTGTCTGCAGTACTGAGAATGATCCACCACCCAAAAATACCTGCTCTGTGGTGGTCCTGTGGGGGTCTTGACCACTGATGAACAGGGTGACAGGAGTCTAACAAAGTATGTGGAGAAACAGATGGACTACAGTCTGTAATTGTAGAACTACAAAGTGCACCTATATGATAAGAGGAGCTGATAAGTAGGCAATGAGCGTAGAAACATGGAGGTGGTTTTAATGTTATGGCTGATTGGTGTATGTAAAAAATATGGCAATATATCACAAACTTAACAGATTAAAAAAATTATATTTCCTTTGCACACAGGTTTCAGTAATTATCATTTTGTCACCAAGTGCTTTTTTGTGCTTAATTTCATTATTACATTGGTGACAGTTTCTTTTGACTTTGGAGCTTTAGCATTTTATTTTAGTCCTAAAGGATTAAAAATGAGAAAAATAGAATTTAACAAACTTCAATACTTTTGTTGATAAATGTTGGATGTACTAAAAAGATCCACTGGAGCTCTACACAGAATTCAGTGCTTACGCATTTTTATCAGCTACTTTTGTACTTCTACAAAAGTTATCTTTTTGTACTGGAACTTTCATATTTACTTGAGAGGTACTTTTATAGGAGTATGGGCTCATAAGTTACTCAACTGACAGATGAGTTATGTGCTTAAGCAGGATTGACATAAAGGTGTACATACAGTGTAGAAATCTAATAAAAAAAAACATAAAATATACATTTCTGCAAATTTCCCTCTCTCAGGTGGCTTCTGCATGCTGTAAAAGGGAATTCCACCATTTTTTCTGTATTTTTGTGTAATTAAATTGTTAAGGTGTAAACAAAGTCATTCAGAGTGGCTTGATGTGAAATGCACCATTCTAGAGAAACTTACAAAGTCAGATTTGTTTAAAGTGGTAGTGATAGGAACCAGATGTCTGAAGTGTTTAAAGCCACAGCACAGAAAGTCATCACATGAAATGGTAATGAATACATCTGAAACACTGTTTTGCAATAGTCTGAAGAGTGTAATGCCTCTTAAAGCTCCCTCACAGAAAGTTATTGCATTAATTTGTTAAAAGATGCCTGAAACATTGTTTTGTAATAGTTCTGAGATAAGATTTTAGCCTAAAAAAAGCATATTTTGTAGGACAATGTGAAGCAAAAATAATTCCTAAAGAGAACTCCCCTCACTGTTTTACCATCATCATCATCGTCATCGTCATCATTTCTTATAAAAACACAAAAGACACGCAGATTTTTTGAAAGACTGGTGGAATTCCCCTTCAAGATGTTGTCTATGTTGTCAGAGACTGCAGAAATCAGCTAAGCAGCAGTAAAGTGGCTCTTACGTCATGTAGAACACAGATCACAGCCTATTTTTATTCCTCCTTCGTGTTCTCGTTTTTTTCATCCCTGCTGAAAAAAAGACGTAATGGTTACTACTGAAAACATTGGCTTAATGGTGACTATGAGAGACCACTAGTTTCCTGCAGGACACCTTTAGATTCTATTAGAAAACCATCAAAAGCGTCTAGAATCAGTTCCAGAACACCTGTTAAACCAGACTCCTTTATACTGTGATATCAACACATCAGGAAAACACAAAGCATATCATATCCATTAGTGACTATTGGACACCAGCAGGAAGTAACAGAAACTTCTAATGGTTTCTATGATTGTTCTGAGCAGGAATGTCTCGCGATGAAGTCATTTAACCCTGAAACTACAAGCAAAACCATTTAAAACTAACACTGTGCATCGTGCCAAAGGCGCGCGCCGCAGCTCAATATCCTTGCAGCGCGTTAGCAGCGCGGGAAGTGAAAGAGGTGGGAGGAGGAGGAGGAGGAGGAGGAGGTGGAGGGGAGTCCACTGGTGCTCGTGCTCACCCCTCCTGCGCGTGCACACGCTAAAACAGAAGGCAGAGTGAACGGGGCAGCAGCTCAAAACTCCCCCAGCATCCTCCCCTGCGCCTCGGCTCTGCGCTCTCGCGCCCCAAACTCAGTTTTTGGAGGATTTCTTTTACCCGAAACGGATTTGAGGCGAAGCGACAGTGGACGATGCTCTTGTCCTGCGGGTGCATGTTGGCGCGGAGCTGCGGAGCTCCTGCAGGTCCGTGAGGAAGAGGAGGAGGAGGAGGAGCGAGCGCGCGCGCGCGCGCGAACAGGAGGGCAGACCGAGATCGCGCTACTGTCCCACGGCCGTGACTGATGCTCCCTGATTGGACCCCCTTTTCGAGCTTCATTCAGGTCGCCGCTGGAAGTCATTCATCATCAGGATCAAGAATCAAGAGCTGCTCCGGGGTTTTTGTTGGAAAGATAATAGACAGATATACGATGTTTGTGGGACTATAATGGGAGTTTAGCACCGTCACGTGACTTCGCGCTAGCTTCTTTTCCTGCGGAAAGTGGGGGGCTTTGGACCTGAACAATGGCTATTAACACAGACAGCGGGTTTGAGAAGTCACAGTTGGGGGGGAACGGCAGCGCCCGTCCCGCCGAGGCTCATGAGACTGAGAAACTCCTAAGCGCTGTGGTCACGGAATCCCCGGCCGGAGATGGGGTTACCGTGAGCGTCGGGGCTGAAAAGGTGCAGGACGGAGACCAGAATGGCCACGGGCTCCCACTGAGGTCTAGCTCCGTGGGACAGCTCGGCTCAGCCCCCCGCTCGCCGTCCCGGACCAGCCTGAGCCGCGCCTCGTCCACGGGCAACACTGTCCAAGAGCAGTCCAAGCCCCAGGACTACCTCCTGCTGGTCATCTTCTCCTGCTTCTGCCCTGTGTGGCCGGTCAGCATCGTCGCACTGGTGTACTCAATCATGGTGAGTGGAGCTGGGATAAGAAAGTTGCAGGTAGCACCCACTCACACCTTCTACCTGCTCTGGTGTCCAGTGAGAGTGGTCAGAGTATTCTGCTACTGTACATCTGATTGTGATGAATGAATGAGCATGTGCTTCTGAAAGAGGGGATGGTGCTTGCCTGCCGCTATGAAGAACACAGCTTGGGAGCATATGGGTGCGCTCGTTTAGAGAGCAAAGATCTAGCAGGGGTTTACAGCTCAGAGATTTACGATCTGCTGAGAGAAATGCACTGCAGACATTGCGCTCTGAATTTATGGTACAGACCTCAATCAACACTGTACAAATGTCTCTGATGTTTAGGTGCCAGATTTTGTACATCTGTCTGAAGAGGCGGAGAGTATTAGTTTTAGTCAATATAAAAGGGGTTCTTCAAAGGTTCTTTAGTACAGTGGTTCTCAAACCGGTCCCTAGGGACCCCTAGATGGTTCACAACCCAACTCACAATACAGGGGTAGAGCAAAATTGTGGACCATTTGCGAGTCCCTGAGACCAGTTAGCTTCAGTAAATATAGAATCATGACAACTCAAAGGACTCTTTGAATGATTATGTAATTCTTTGCATGGTCACATCGTTCTTCTCTATGTTGGAAAATCGGTCATATATTGTTGCTGTCTAAAAAAAACAAGTATGTCCAAAACAGCAACTTTACAGGAGAAAGAAAGAGTGCTTGTTACTTTTAATGTAAGTTAATGTGATGAGATTTAGAAGTAGTACTTTTGGACCATTTCAATCAGTCCATTCATCAAGGAATTTTGACATAATGTAAAAAACAGCTGCTGTGCTCAAATAATACAGAAAAATGGAGATACCTTTTCAAAGTGGTTCTATGTAGCACCAACAAGTGTTCCACTATTGTTAACTGTAAAGCTTCTCGGTACTATATGAAGCTAAAACTGCAGTATCAGGATACTGTATTTGAAAGGTATCAGATGTCCCAGTAGAAGTGTTTCATCTTGAATTGCACTGAGATTTTTCTTCACGAGAGTGCATTTTTAAGCAAAGAAATGTAGTAACATAAACCACTTGCAAGGTACAAAGGCAGTGCTGACCAGCTGCAAGCACTTGCCAGCAAATTGATTCAATCAAATCTCCAGAATGCTTCATTCTACCAGGACCTCATAACTCAAAATCCCCCCTCCACCCTTGGAAATGATCATTCAGTGGAGGAGGCTGGGGTGCATACTGGGCGTGGCTCCATGAAAGACTTGATTGGTTTGTGTGCAGCAGTTGAGGAAACTGACTCCACTGTGCCACATGAGGTGAGGGAGCAGAGGCTACTCCCTCAGCGTCAGTATGATATCTATCTGAAGTAGTTATTTCCAGATGTAGCTGTTTGATTCTCGCTACACTGAAAGAAATGCATGGGATGGGGGATATCTGGATATCTGCCTTCGATGCTGTGTTCTATAAGTGAACAAAAATCATATTTTCTGAGGCACTTCTCATGCTTCTTCCTCCATCTGGGCATAGTTTAAAAAACAAGCATACGTTAGAGGCATATTGGTATTGATGGGTATCAGTATTGGGCTGATATCAGCAGAAAATGCTGGATCAGATATTAAATGGGAAAAAAGGCAATGAATCAGATCCAGTTCTGTAACTAATTTAGCCTGGAAAACTCCAAACTCACAGTGTTAGCGGTGCAGTTCTTTCTGTGGGCTGGGAGTGACTTTGAGTAGTTTATGTATGATAGCCTACTTTTAGAGGCTCCTTTTAAGTGAAGTGTTTCAGTTAAAAATAGCTCATTTTAAACCTTGGATTTTTTTTAAAGAAAAAAAATCTAATATTGTATCAACAGTTTCAATACTGGTACTGGAAAAGAAAAAGTGCTATCATGCCATCTCTAGCATACATGCAGCTGCATTTTTGAGGACCAACCATCCAAAGATGGCAATGGTACATCCATTCAGGTAAAAAGATTACAGCTAAAAAGCCCACCTCACAATCCCTGACCCACACAGAATCAGAAGAGTGCAGTGGAACAGAAAACTGCTGCACTGTACTACAACAAAGTGCGATGTCCCTCCACTGTGGCTATGCAGTCCTTGTCCTGTTATCCCATTTCAACAGGAAGAAGGGGGCGTCATCTCTCTGGAGAAATGTGTAGATTGCTTATTTTGGACTGCGTTTTCAGTGGTGTCAAGTGCGTACTGCAACTACTATTTTCAATGACACAGTAACAGAGAGTGAGAACTGGAGACCTGAGGAAGACTGACTATAAGAAGTCCGCTTGTTTAATCTGGTTTACTTTTCAGTCTGGTGAAGCTGTCTACACTCAAACAGATCCAGTATCTACTAGAAAGAAATTATTTATAATGAGCTGTAGGAATGGCTATGATCGAGTTGCACACATTGCCTTGGCCACCAACCACAGTCATCCAAACAGCCTGTGCCTGACCACATCATTGGACTGAAACGTGCCCCGCTTTCCCTTCCCCTCCCTCCTGAGTGCCAGCAGAAACCAGTGTCGCTCTCTAACTCAATAGAGGGTGAGACAGAGAAGTCAATTTAGCTTCTCTGCAGAGGGCAAATTGCACCTGTTAGCCTGGCATCATGCTGATAAACAACAGCTTTACCTTAGGAAATGCTGGAGGTAGTTCAGCACAACTGATAACCTTCCAGTTCTCCTCAGCTACACCAGAGATGGAGGGATTGTCCTTTTGGAGTTGGTTTGGAGTGAGTTCTTACTAGCAAAATACTGTAACAAAGTTACAGCAGCTGTAATGTATAACAGAGGGAGTAGTTTGGTACATAATACTCAGTTTGAATGTAGTAAAAATTAACATTATCCTTTTGAAATATGAAGCATTTTAAAGTAATTTGTGGTTCTTTATATAAACAGCTTTGTGTCATTTTTGGGGGGTTAAAAAGGGAATTTGCATTACAATGCAATGATTCCTTGGTAGATCAGCAGATCATCATATATAGATAGATAAAACTCAGTTATGGACCAATGGCCATTAAAACTACTATGAGCATGTGAGCTTCTAGTGGATTGTATTTTCTACAAACCTGGATGTTGACATTACTTTCTCAACATTCTTTCCCAACAAAGCTTCGCATTATGTCATGATTAGGAAAGTGCATAATATAGATATGCGGGCTAGGAGATGGCAAATAGCAGCAGTTAAAAACCTTTGTTCCAATGCATCTGCTGGGGAAAGCATAGAGATGTGTATCCGGATGGGACTAAATATATCAGTTTGGTTAAAAACAGTAATTTGGACTGTAATTTTCTCATGGGAGGAGGAGGAAAAACACAAAGACATGACCAATCCAGTTGGAAATAAGAGGAAATTGCCCTAGGATCACATGCAAATTTAATCCTGTCTGAATCTGGCTAAAGGCCCTTACACCTCCAAGGGGGTCAAATTACAAATTTCCCATGAGCAAATATAGTAATGGAATGGATGATAAGATGCCATGGGGGATTCCCGTGAGGGGAAATAGCAAGGCCAAGTCAGTGAGGGAATGTTAAAAATGGTACTGAATTGGAGAATCAGTAACAACACAGTGAACAGCCACGTCTATTTCCAGATTTTGTTATTACATGTCCATGTGGTCAATTTGAACAGGACTAATATTACCAAAAAATATGCTGGATTACAGAAGTTAATTCAGTCTATAATAAGTATTAATTTGTCAGACTTCAGACACTACAGATTCATACTGGATTTAAATTATGGGTCTCATTAGTAATCATATAAATTATAGTACTTGCCCCCAGGTAAGACTAATCCAGCTTGAACAGGGATAAAGAGGGAAATTTATCAGGAAGCACGTTACCCAAGTGTTAGTGGGCACGTTACGTTGTCAGAGACTTGTGAGATCAATGGGAAGAGAGAGAATACAGTAGGTAACAGTGGGTGGGTAATACGTTCTTGCTCATTGCAGCTTGTGGATGCAAAATGGAGTCCATTACTGGGAGTGAGGATGTGAAGTAATAGGCTTTTATTGGACTGAGCAGGCTTTCGGCATAATGGGAAGGGCCAGAACCGCGAGGCTGTTACTGCATGCTCGGCAGATCTGAGGGTGAAATATGGGTGTCAGAGCTGCAGCATAGCTCATGGCTTTGTGTTTACGTTTCCTTTTTGTTTATTCACGCTCTTGGTAGAGCACTACGTTTGGAGCCTTGCCAGCCTGAACACCTCTCTATGTAAAAGCTCAGCAGCTATATCAAAGAAAAAGTGCTGGAAAACGCAGAGCCAGCAAGAAAGGTGCAAATTTTGAAAGAGTAGCTGCTGTGTTCTTACACTGCTAAGTGAAACATCACTTTATAGATGCTTACTGTCAGTGAGGTCATGTTACCAGCGCACCTGCTCACCCACTGACAAACATAGGCTTCAGCGTACAGTAGGGGAGCTGAGCTGGTCAGAGCTCACCAAGGAGACTAGGGTGTGTGCATGTTTTAGTTCCAGTGCTTTTTCTTTCCTTTTTTTCTTTTTACTGTCGCCCTTGCAGTCACTCTTCTTTCACAGCTTTCCCTGGTCTCTGGCGGGGCTGTTCCCTCTATTATTAATGGATCAGGCATGTGAGAAAGCACTCAAAGCTTCTACACCCTGTGCGCTGGGTAATTCTGAGGAGGGGGGATGCATGCAAAGCCTGTGTATGTGTGTGTGGTTGGGGGGGCAAAGGGGGTGGAGCGTATGGGAGGTCTCATTACGTCTATCAAATAACACGCATAAATGCTTGTGCGTTATTTGACAGAGGCACCAGGGAAGCACCATAGAATTTCAAATCCACAAGAAAAATATTGCTGGCTAATCTAGCAGCAGATCAATATGCCCATTTATCATGTTGTGGACACTGCCCCTGCCCTCCTTTCCCCTCCTTTCCCCTCCTTTCCCCTCCGGCCACACAGATCATTAAATTCCTGCACAGCTCCTCACTGCCTTTACAGCAGCAGTAATGCAACACACAACAGCCTCCACAGCCTCAGGGAGGCTTCAAGTTCTCTATC